AATTCACACTGCACTTTCAGTACATTTTGTATGTGATTTTTTTCTGCATTTGCAGAAGTTGGGTAACGAAACCTGTTAACTTAAGCAAATAACTACTACAATGTACATTCTGACAAAGTGATTCTAGATGGATACTCTTTGTAAAGCCTACTGTGGCTGCAAAGTTTGTGTGCAGTATGTATATCACGTATTGTTGTAAAATATATGCAATGTTATATTACCAAGAATTTACTTTTAATAAATTGTATACAATTTAAATGAATAGTGTTCTCCGCCTTAGTTAACAGTCAATATTGCTTGGTAACATTACTAAAGATGGCTTGATACAAGTAAGGGAACGATTATATACAATAATTGTGCCTACTAGTTAATGGATATTTTTAATTTAGAGACTTAGATTTTTCTGGGCTATTAGTATATATAAAATAGTAATAGGAGACAGAGGAATGGGGTGACAGAAATTGTGAACTACACAATATGTCATGGAGCATGTGTATAAATATGAAGTATAACTCCTGATCTCTTGAGAAATACATGCAAATAATAGCACTTATACCCATCGTGGAATAGGAGTAGATGCATATGCCTACTAACACAATTTACTGTGCAGCAGAAGAACATATTTTGCATATTAGTTATTGCACATTCTGCAAATTACTGCATGTGTTCTATACATTAGCAAACATGTTTATATACCTCTACTTTAGATGGCCATATTTCAATGAACACGTGCAAATGCCTATTGTCACACAGTTCGATATACTCAAACAGCTCAGCCTTGTAAAGACATGTCCTAATTAAAGCATTAATCCTACCAACTTCCCATTTCTAACATCTTGAACTTCACTTAATTCTCATAGAATCCCTACAGTGCAAATCGAGGCCATTTGGCCCATTGAGTCTGCACCAACCCTCTGAAGAACATCTCACCCTATCCCTGTAACCCCACATTTACCATAGTTAACCCACCTAACCTGCACATCCCTGGACATTATGGGGCAATTTAGCATGGCCAATCCACCTAACCTGCACATATTTGGACTGTAGGAGGAAACTAGAACACTCGGCAGAAACCCACACAGACTTGGGGAGAATGTGGAAACCCTACACAGACAGTCACCCAAGGCTGGAATTAAACCCAGGTCCTGGTGCGGTGAGGCAGCAATGCTTACCACTGTGCCACCATGTCACCCAAAATTCTAAGTAGAGTTCTCTTAAGAAGAGCTTTATGCTTTACTATAACCGTGGTCAGTTTGTTTATTGCAAATAACAAATATATGAATGCCCGAATAAATCCTCAGGAACAGATGTAGTCTTTGGGGTTTCATGGTAATGCATGCAGAATAATGTCAATATTTTCTTCCATCTATCAGAATATCATTATGTTGAGGGGAATTAAGGGCAAGAGTGATAATTTGAATTTGTTGAACAAATGTCATACTTTGCTAACGTATCTGATTTAATTGGTAATTTTAGCATAACCTGCAAGGATCCCTGGATTATAACCTGTTTGGTTTTGTTCTTTTTGTTACACTATTTATAAAAGATATATGTTGGACATGCTTGAGATATACATTGGAATATCCAACCAAACATGAAGAAGCAACAAGTTAGCTCTGCGCTGTGATGTTCAGTATGTCTTTGGATAAATATTAAAATTCAAAGCACAATACTTCTTATTACATAAACAGAAACAGTCGTGAAAAATAAATGTAAAATAACATCTTAAGTGAAAAACAACAGACTTAGTTGCAAATTGATTTCAAATATGAATCTGATGAGTGACATTTCTGTTTCGTATAAAACATATCCAAACTTTATTTCATAGGTCTCACTAGGCTCAGCCTTGGCAAGCTAACTATGATTGTGCTCATTGATTGGGTTATTATGTTTGAATTTTGACAGTTTGGACATTTGGGAATGATTCGTTTTACTTGTCCTGATGATGGATATATTCAAAATCAGAGCAACAAATATGATGTCTCAATCTTGAGATTACTTAAGGGTCATAGAGTTCCAGAGATGTAAAGCATGTAAAAAGACCCGTCAGTCCAACTCATCCATGCCGACCAGATATCCTAAATAAATCTAGTCCCATTTGCCAGCATTTGACCCATATCCCTCTAAACCCTTCCTATTCACATGACCATCCAGATGCCTTTTAAATGTTGTAATTGTATGAGCCTCCACCACTTCCTCCAGCAGCTCATTCCATACACACACCACCCTCTGCATGAAAAAGTTGCCCTTTAAATCCCTTTTAAATCTTTCCTTTCTCACCTTAAACCTATGTCCTCTAGTTTTGGACTCCCCCAACCCGGGGTAAAGACTTTGTCTATTCACCATATCCATTTCCCTCATGATATTACAAATCTCTATAAGGTCACTCCTAGCCTCTGATGCTCCAGAGAAAATAGCCCCAGTCTATTCAGCCTGTCCCTATAGCTCAAACCCTCCAATCCTGGCACCTTGAAGTACTTGCAGAAAGAATCTGTTCTAAAATAATATCTGCCAGACGTCATAATTATTTCTCAACTGATGAATTAGATTTGAAGTGCAATTACGGTTATTATGTAAATACATCATCCAATTTGCAAAAGTCAAAGATCTACAAACACCAATGTGGAAAATGACTGATTTTCTTTTTTGGTTTAGCATGCCACCTAAAAAGCATTTCTGACAATAATGTTCTCAAATCCTGAAATGTTGAATTTGCAACCATTCGACTCATAGTTGAGAATACCACTACTGAAAGAAGCCCTCAGGCTCTGGGGCAAGTGCTTAGGTGATCAATAGAAGGGAAAAAAAATGCCTCAAACATCCTTCTTTTAACCACAGAAAGAATGATACATTAGCAAGAGCATTATACTGTGGTTGAACTAGGTAGCATAAACATTATTGACAACATTAAAGCGAAATGGATACGCAAATGAGGATTATGCTTTTCAAATTAAAACCAAAAATTTTGAAATCATTACCATTACTTCATTAAAATGTTGTTCATTATCCTTTGTTGCAGAACTCTTTCTAGAAATGTTTAATTCTGATGTGAATGATCTTCAGAATAAAAACACAGCACTCAACGCAGAAAAGTAATTCAAGCTTACATTCACAGTTTACCCTTTCTTTCTATTTAATGCTTGCTGCCCTCAAATGTAAACCTGAGGTTGATACGTTTTAACTTGAATCATAAAAAAAGCCATTAATGGACTCCCAAATTCAATGCATTGAAAAAATAAGTTTAAAAAGCAATGCAAGATAAATTAAAATATATTTATTGTGTTCTTGGAGGAGAAAACTTGAAGAACTAAAGAAAACTCTTTTGTTGAAATTGAGACACTCCTATGATGCTGCTTGGCCTGCTGTGTTCATCCAGCCCTGCACCTTGTTGTCTCACTTACATTATTTCTTGGGCCTAAAGTGACATCTATAAATTCCCACATAATAGGGGTAATTTTCATTGTATGGGTTATAACCTGTTGAAATAGATGGTCATCCTATTATTGAACCTAATTTTCATTCCACTGAAATTAATGGAATAATGCTCATGTGCTCTGCAACTTCAGTTTATCACCCAACTAGTTAAAACCTAAACTGCAAGATCATAATTTTGGAACTGTCATCAAGAAAGATCAAGGCAAAGCAGAGAATGTGACAAGTCTACTTTGCTCTCTGTTGTATCGATATATTTATTTGCATCTTATTTCTAAAGTCATTTTTTAAAATAAGGCATCCACAAAAACAAATGACTTAGGAGTTATTTAGACTGTGGAGTTGTTATTAGTTTGACTGAAAGACAGAAAACATGTACATATCATGCCAGTTTCAAATCAACTAAATTGTGGCAGCCATTCACTGCCTTCAGAGTCAACCCGTCTAGTTTAAAATATAAACAATGCCTTACAGTTAACATTTAATCATCATTAATTAATGCATTCTCCATGACGATGCCTCTACCAATCGGAGTCCACTTGCCAACCAAGCAGCACTGTCATTCCATGCAGTATAAATTCTCAGGAAAGGTCACTGAATCTGAAACATTAACTCTGATTTTTTTTTCAGAGATGCTGCCAGACCTGCTGAGCTTTTCCAGCAACTTCTGTTTTTGTTCCAGTATAAATCTTAGTTTCCCTTTGAATGGCATTCTTGTGAATTGTCCTATTGAATGCAAATGAAAAACTTTGACAATATGTATTTTTTCAGCACTAGTCTAGCTCTGTACTACCAAATGATTAATAATAATACAGTTCTTGAAGAGCTGTAATTTAACCTGGCCCAAAAAACATTTAAAAGATGAACTGCAGAGACTCTTATGCATGGAAATCACATTGGTGAGGGGCATGAGCCATCCTGGCCCTCATGCATTGTTTGTTTTGATGGACCAGCAGCCATCAGTGCTCATGCTTTTTGAGAATTTGAAAGAATTTGGGCTCCAGTGACATTGATGACAGGCAGATAGTGGCCCTTATTGGGAAACTGTGCTCTACTGCTGTTAAGTCAAGCTAAAGATTTAGATAATCGTTCTGCAAGGTTATGCCCAATTTTCATGTACCACTCTAATGCTCCTCATGGAGGAGATGATCATGATAATGGAATTTGTGTTTCCAGGTGATGGGAGGAGTATACTGACGCTGCATTTATCAGATTTAGAAGAGGAAAGGATGAGAAAGTTAGGGTGAGAAATCCCCCTATTCCCCCAAACCAAGCCTGAAACTGAGACCTCTCCAAACTGAGCCTCATGCCTCAGGCCTTAGAAGCCTTCTCTCTTCTGCTTCCTGTCACCTCAAGTAATCACAACAATAAGACACCATTAAAGCACCTTCTGCTGCAAACTGCACACTCTGTACTCATTGCTGTCCTTAGAAATATAACTTCCACAACCCTATAAATGTGGTATATTTCACACACTATTTATATTATTTTATCTGAACACAACACACACATTCACAACCTTTGACAAGACCACATGTTAACCTATTCAATTTCTGTTTGAAGACAATACCTAAGATGAGGGGAGGACAAGAACCAGCTCAAAATTCTAACAAGGTTTTGTTCATTGGATGAGTTTTCATTGAAATCATCAGGTAAGTGAACATCAGGAATACCAGATATAGAGATAACAAGGCGTAGAACTAGATGAACACAGCAGCATCAGAGCAGCATCAGAGGAGCAGGAAAGCT